AATAAACTTATTAAAGCATTAAAGTTTACTGCAAAGTATTCATAAATTAAAATGCATTTACTTTTTTGATATTAATGTGCTTTGTTGACAGTATAGCGTGTAGCATTCAACTATGAAACAAATAACTGTAGCTAAGTGTTGTTATTAATGTTACTTGGGACACATTAGAAGTTAAAAATATTCCCATATCATGAAACCCAGAAATTCTAACTCTCATTGGACCATATTGATGTAACCATTGTATTTCAAAACATCACATTTTTTTTTCCCTTAAATGAAACATTGATGTTCTTAAAAACTCCAGAAGAAAGGGAACAACATTAAGTAAATTCGGTGAATCGACAGTTTTAAAAGCAAGTATGCTTTGTAACATACAAACTCTGACAGTGGCGCAAAATTACGGATTTTTAGCACATGCATAAAAAGCTTACATTTTGTGTTGAAAAAGTGCAACAGAGTGCAAAATCATAAGCTTGAATTATTTCAATACTATTGTTTGTAAAAACAAAACTCTAGTCATGCGTTAAGTTTAATCAATAGTATTTTAAACACCATTTTTCCGTATGATAACGTTTTATGTTCTGAGAGAAAAACATTCAGTTAGATTTTAGATTGTTCATTTGAAAATGTGTATGTCAATGAAAAACATTCAGTTTAAAGAAACATAGACTCACTACAAAATTTGGGTAGTGTCAATAATCTTGATTCATCTAAATCTAATGGTCAAAGAAAAGCATCATTTGCTCAGTCTACTTTCAAGAACTACTTGTAAACTTGACAAATTTTGACAAATTTGTAGACTTACTTGACTTGTCACTGTTATGTGAACATACTGTATAAATGCTGCATCCAGTAGTTAAACTAATACATTTTTACTGTTCAATATTAAGTAAAGTTAACTGGGGGCCAGAGCTGTACTGTTTTTAGATAAAACTGAAAATAAATGCTTGTTTATATTTTGTTTTATATTTGAAATAATCCATTTTTTCTTTATAATATCAAGTATTTTTAATTCATTCAAATCAGTTTGAAATACCAAAATTCCATAACTAAGTTACATGGCTTGGATTGTGAGTTTAACAATTACTACGAGTAATACATACATTTTGTTTACTTTTTGAAACAGAAATATCGATACTGTCTAAAGACTGATAAGTTCTTATAGTAAATATTTTATGTTTATTTTCAAATCTACACTAGTGATGAAAAACATTAAGTTTTTTAGATTATTCGTACTACAATGTGTGCCATAAATTACAGAACATACTTGTAAATATATTGAGAATGTGTTAGTCAAAAGAAAATCATTCAGTTTTCATTAATCACAAAGACAACTTGAATTTACATCTGTGATTTTCAACCAACAGTATAGAACATTACATTTTTAGATTAAATAGTTTTACAAGTTGTGACAATTTGTAGTCAATACAGATTAAGATTTGTTATTTAATGGATTACTATTGTAAACATATTTTTATTTGATAGTTCCAACATTGATATATTAAAATGATATGACTGATGCTCTTTTGTCTGTCTTAAAATTTGTATTGGTTTAATGTAGAAATAATGTGAAAAACAACATAACCTATTAATGAGCAATAATAAAGGCAGATTCATTAAATACTGTGTGTGTGACTTCAAGCAGACAAAACCAGACCCAGAAGTGTACACACAACACACAGACACACACACGCACAAACACACAACGAGATAGACACAGACAGACACACAGCCAGAGCCACTCTCCACACCGACAGTCCTATCAGAGAGACAGACGCACGCACAAACACAACGTCTCACGCTTAAACAGCCGGAAAGAGCCGGACTGAACGATAACCATGTAAACGGACGTTTGCGTTTTATTTAACAACCGATGTCATAATGTTCGCTTATCAGATACACGCATACGGCGTAACAGTCATCAGATGTATTTTATCTTTCTCAGACACGCTTCAACCGGTTCAAATTTCCCGCACACACACACACACACACACACACAGGCACAGCCAGAGCCTCTCGACACACCCACACCCCGAGCCGGAGAGACGCACACACATACACAGACACGCAGTTCAGACCATAACAGAGCAAAGGCAACACAGCGCTGCATATACCTTAGTTTATTAATTCTAACATAATATATTAACATAATATATTATAATTTAATTATAATAACATAATTTAAAACAATAATGACAATATAATATTGTATAATTATAATATCTGCATTGATTACAATAATTAAAATATATTACTGTAAATTAGTTAATAATATAGTTTTAATAACGGTTGGTATAATTTATTTCATTAAAATCTATTTCATAATATTAAAATATCTCATTTTAATGTAATAATATCGGAATTATTAATTTTATTCAATTGATAAGAATCTAATTAACGGAAATATTAATTTTATTCAATTGATAAGAATCTAATTAACGGAATTATTAATTTAATTCAACTGATAAGAATCTAATTACCGGAATTATTAATTTAATTCAACTGATAAGAATCTGATTACCGGAATTATTAATTTAATTCAACTGATAAGAATCTAATTAACGGAAAGGGGCGGGGTTTACACCGAAAGCCCCGCCCTAAAAGGGGCGTGGCGGTCATCAATCAAACTTTTTGACACATGCCACCTTATATTCCTCTCTCTAGCATGTATGTCAAATTCATGTTGATATACACTTCCAGTTTAAATAAATAAATAAATAAATAAACAAATAAATAAATATTTTTTATTCTTGTCATTTTCAGCAGCTATTGTCATTCAGAAATTATTCTCATATGCTGAGTTGATACTTTCAGAATAAATAAATAAATAAATACATACATAAATAAATAAATAAATGTTGTTTATTTTTGTCATTTTCAGCAGCCATTATTATTCAGAAATTATTCTCATATGCTGAATTGATATTCACTTCAAGTCTATATAAATAAACAGTTTATTCTTGTCATTTTTAGCAGCCATTGTAATTCAGAAATCCTTCTCATATGCTTACATCCAGTCTAAATAAATAAATGAATAAACAAACAATGTGTGTTTAATTTAACAAATTGTCTGTCGTCTTTTTTTTTTTTTTTTTGTGGCGCATGTAAACTGATCAAAACTGACAATATCAGAATTGTAATAACTCACAATAAGTGTACAAATAATAATAAAAAGTATAATAAAATCAGGTTATGAAGTCAAGAAATAAAGCAAATGTTGATCATAAGAAACATTATTAAATGTTGGGTACCAAGTAAAATAAATGTACCAAACATCATATCAACAATTATCTATATAAACAATAAATTATTTCTGTAGGATTATGTAGCATTATATATTACTGAAATTTAAGTTATAAAATTACAGGTTTACCTTTTTAAATTTTTTTTTTCTTTAGTCATTTTTTAAAAACATTTTTAATTATTTATTTAAACACTTTTTTGCATCGGTTTAATTTAGTGATAATATATTTATCTGTTATTATAAACCATTGTGATATCTAAAAATATAGTTTTCTTCTTTTAGTTAAAGTAAAATATTCAAAATATTAAACATATACATGCATGTGCATGTGACAGAAATTTTGCACTCTGTTCATGGAAGGTGCACCGAATTTATAAGCTAATATTTAAAATTTGCACAAACCCAACTGTTGGGTTAAAGTTGTATTTCTTTAAAAAACTGCAATTAATAAAATAAAAAAAGTTTATTTTTAAACAAACAAACAAACAAACAAACAAACCAATAAATAAATAAATAAATATTATTTATTCATTTTCAGAAGCCATTATCATTTAGAAATTATTCTAATATGCTGGACTGACAGTCTTTTCCAGTCTAAAAAAATAAATAAATTGTGTATATATTTAGCAAATTGTGTATAAAATCTTTTTTTATAATTTTTGTTTATTTGCACAAGTAAATTGATCAAAACTGACAATATTAGTATTGTAATAACTCACAATAAGTATATGAATAATACAAATCTGAAATAAAATCAGGTTATGATCTCAAAACAATAAATAAACAAAACTATATTAAGCAGGAAATGTTGATCATAAGAAGCATTAATAATTAGTTGGTACCAAGGAAAATAAAATGACCAAACAGTATATCAATAATTATTAATATAAACAGTCAATCATTTCTAAAGAATTGTGTGGCATTATATACTGAATATACATTATATGCTGAAATGTAAGTAAATACAACAGGTTTACCTTTTTGAGTAAACGATTATATAATGATCTATTTAAAAACATCTTAATCCTTCATTTAAAACATTTTTTCCATCAGTTTTATTTAGTGGTAATATATTATTATTATTATTATTATTATTATTATTATTATTAATTGTAGTAGTAGTAGTAGTAGTAGTAGTAGTATAAAATTATTATTATCCATTATTATAAACCATTGTGATATCCTCACATATTGTTTTCCTAGTTCAGTTAAAGTAAAATATATAAAATATATATTTTGGACTTTTTTGAGAAGGTGGCATGAATTTAGAAACTTTAATTTTAAATGTAGACAAATGTACAAAATGTAGGTAATTAATTAATTTAAAAAATGGTACAATTGTATTTTTAGATAAATAAATAAATAAATAAATAAATAAATAAATAAATAAATTTATTCTTGCAATTTTCAGCAGCAATTATCATTCATCATACATCTTTCTCATATGCTGTGATGATAAAATAAAATAAAGATAAAATAAAATAAAATAGAGTTTATTCTTAACATTTTCAGCAGCAATTGCAATTATTCATAAATCATTCTCATATGCTGAAAGTCACTTCCAATCTAAATTGAATAAATAAAAAATAAATCAATAAACAAAATAAATAAACAAGTAAATAAATAAATAAATAAATAAAAGTAAGTTAGTAATTAATTATTTTTTTATATTTTTTTTAAAGAGTGAAAGCTTGATTATGTAATTTTCTATGAAACGATGCAGTCCATTTCAGATCTTCCTCTCTTCTCTCTTCAGATCAGCTTGGACGCCAGCAAAATCAAGCTCCCACGTCTGCCAGAGGGAAAAGCCTCCACCTCTGGACCGAGACAGACTGTCTTTGAGGTGTGTGTCTGTCCCAACGGAAAACTCTTCTTATCACAAGCAGGAACTGGCTCTACTTGCCAGATGAGCAGCAACTTATGCCTCTAAACACTAACAAACTCACTTCCACCCACACACAAACACTACAAAACTCATACACAAGACTCGATCCTCTCAAAGAATCCAACGTCTAAAAGGATTTCCTCAAAAGATTCTTGAAAATACTTTGTAAAACCATGTTTGAGGCTGGCTGAGACCTTTAAGGTGATCACCAGAAACACACCATGACAGACGGACATTCAGATTCATACCTCGCTTGTACTCGTCGGCGTCCTCTTTTTTCACTCAGAAACAGACGATATATATTTTTTTTGCTGAGGAAAGTATCGTGGGTGCTTTAATCTTGTGTACGCCACATAAATAAAACAGATACACTCTTTGTAACATCACATTTTGTATGATTACTGGAGTCCCGCATCTACAGTTCTCCATCTGGGACACGTCTCGTGACGGTGATCACCTGTTATCCAAACTGTGCTCGCACCGGGAGGGAACCCGTGTGTGCACACACACATAAACACTCTGTTGAAAAAGACGATTTCTGTGCCTTAATTCAATGCACTCGTGGCAAGAAGCACACCCCACTGACTTTTCTTTAGACAAGGAGACTTGTGTTGAAGTTACTTGCCTTTTGCTCCCTAGTTAACTTATTTTTAACTGCATTTAAATAATAATAATAAAAAAGTTTGAAAAACCCCATTTAACCCCAAACTTACATAGAGATTTGTTTGCTTTAATGTGAAAAGGAGAAGAAATCATTTCTGGTTTTATTTAAATGCATTTTATTTTGTTGTTTTTTGTTGGCTTGGCACAGAGTGAAAAAAGACGAGTTTGATGTGTGGATGTTTTTGTGTGTATTATTAAGTCTGATTTTTGCTCGTATTGTGTTATTGAGCTCTTAACAAACTAGAGACACTCAAAACCAAAAAAGAATAGCTGTCAAAAAGTAGGAAGCTGATGAAAATCGAAAATGATTTTGTAAATCATTTAATGAAATTATGAATAAATACATGTTTTATTCAAGTTTCGTTCGTTCATAAATACACACACACACACACTTCTGTTTGGAAGTTTGGGGTCAGTTGGACTAAAATAAGTGTTTTATTTTCAAAAAGGCTGCACATTTGATTGAAAACATAGCAATGATAGGCAACATAGGCTCATTCTGAAAATGTACCCCTATATACATTTATGAAGATTGCGAAACATGTATCCAGAGGTATGTATGGCTGTATTTTGTCTTTAAAATGAATGCTATGGGGCGGTATGATGCTGTTCCTTTTCTTGCTTACCAGCTGAGCACTTCACCTCCAAATGAACGGCTTTTCCGCTGTTACCAGTTTGCCCAGTTGCTCGTGGTGTTTGTTGGTGGTCTCGTGATTTGGAGCAGAGTTAACCATGACAATGGGGTTCAAGTCTGGTGTAAAACGGTTTCAGAAAGCAGGTAAGACAAAAACAAATGCCAAAAGAATAAATAAACAAGTAAATAACAGGGTGAGAATTTGGTAAAATCTGAAAATGTGGTAAAAATCAGGCTGCCCCGAGGGCTTTTCTTTTTCTGGATTGCTTTTGAAGACACTGTTAGTTGGGTTTAGGAAAATAGGTGGGCAGCAGGGAAATGAATTTTAAATAAATAACAGAAATTAATTTCAATTGAATGGAATCCTCTAGACAATTCTATATAATACAAAAAATGTTATAGAATTAGATTATAGAATTATCTGTTGTGTGTTTTTTTAGACCCAACTCATGGCAGAGAAATAGGTTTATTAAGTCTTACCTTCCTGACTCATCATCCATCAATCAGTACTTTTGAAAACTCTATCAGTTGGGTTTAGGAAAGGAGAAGGGTGGGTCAGTCGATCGGTCAGTCAATCAGTCAGTTGGTCAGTCAGTCGACAGTGGCCTCTGGTGGATTTACGCAAGAACAGCAGATGCAAATGGCACTTGAGAGAGAAATTTGTGATCTCAAAAAATGTACACAGCAACCTCTGGTGAATTTGCGAAAAAAAAAAAAAAAATTAAAATAACAAATCGTACTTTCTGAAATGTATTTGGTGCTCTACAGAAATGTATATAGGGGTACAGACACAGAATGAGCCTGGGTTGCAAAATTGTATTACAGTTCAAAAGTTTTCTACGTTTGTTTATTTAAAAACAAGTCACATTGTCATGGTCAGAAACCTTTTTAATATGCTGATTTGGTCTACAATAATTTTTTCTTATAATAATAATAATCCATCGCTAGAACAGCCATATTGATTGTTGCATTTTTTCCTCATTTAAAACTATACAAGTGACAGGTCTTATGTATTCTATAGTGTTTGGTATTAAAAGCACTGCACTCGTATGTTAGTTGATGCTAAAGATGTAATACGAGATCGTAGCGGTAACATACATAAACCCAGAAAATTCCACATAAAATTCCCATTTGAATGGGTAAAAAAACACAATCTCATGGCAATACGTAACTTTTTGATTTAGTGGCTAATACGTATGAATTCATGCAATCTCATTTATACAATTTAGTATGATTTGCTTATCGCCCAATGACCGCCAACCGAGTGGGACATGTTCCTTGATTACCATTATGTTGATTTTGGAACAACATCCCAATTAGCCAATCAGAATTAAGGCACAGGTTTACTGTTTATGTTAAGTTTAGGCATACAATTTTGGGAATAATTTGCTGTTATGTTTGGGTTTAGGGGTAGGGAATAGGTATGGATTACATTTTTGAACAAAATTGAAGTTCCAGGATCAACATAGATGATAATCCAGGATCGCATTTTACTTGGCAAAATCATGACATGCCCTCAGTAACAGTTGGGTTTAGGGGCAAGGTTGGATGCCAGGTCTCCTTTTTAAAATCATACATTTTCGTGCCACTGAACATATACGAATTCAGACGAATTTGCCACTTGAACTGACAAAACGTAAAAAAAAAAACTTAAATATGTACGTTTCCTTATGAAATCAGGCTGAAATGGCCCATTTTAAGTTCATAACCCGCCTTTGTCTTTTCCTATGAGGGTGTAGGGGTTGGGTTTAATTAAGTGCCACGTCTCCTTTTAAAAAACGTGCATTTCCATTCAACTGAATTCATGCAATTTAGCCACAAAACCAGCCTGATATCTCAAGAAAACATAAGTATTTTATGTTTTGTCAGTTTAGTGGCTAATTTGTATTTGTATTTGTATGAGTTCAGTCGTACAAAATTGTATGATTTTAAAATGAAAGCATGGAACCCAACCGTGATGAGCAAATCATACTAAATTGTAAGAATAAGATCATGCGAATTCATGTGAATTAGCTTCTAAATCAAAAAAAGTAACAAATTGCTGTGAGATATCATATGTAAAATAGAAATGTTTCCTCGTGAGATGAGGCTGAAACATCCCCATCAACTAAAACACAATCTCTTGTAACTTTTTCATTTCGTGGCTAATTTGTATGAATTCATACAATCTCATTTGTGCAATTTAGTACAATTTTCTCATCACCCAATGATCGTCAAACTGATTTGACTAAGTAGGACAAGTTCCTGGATTATCATCTAGGTTTACTGTTTATGTTAATTTTAGGCAAATAATTTTGGGAATAATTTGCAGTTATGTTTGGGTTTAGGGGTAGGGCATAGGTATGGATTACATTTTTGAATAAAATTGAAGTTCCAGGATCAACATAGATGATAATCCAGGATCGCATTTTACTTAGCAAAATCATCACGTGCCCTAAATAACAGTTGGGTTTAAGGGCGGGGTTGGGTGCCAGGTCTCCTTTTTAAAATCATACATTTTCGTTTGACTGAATTCTTACAAATTCATATGAATTTGCCACTATACTTACAAATGTAAAAGATACTTAAATTTCCTTGCGAGATCAAGCTGAAATGGCCCATCTTAGATTTATAACCCACCTTTATCTTTTACTATGAGGGTTTAGGGGTTGGGTTCAATTAGGTGCCACGTCTCCTTTAATGCAATTTAGCCACAAAACTAAAAAAAACAAGCTGGATATCACGAGAAAACGTAAGTATCTTATGTTTTGTCAGTTTAACGGCTAATTTGTATGAGTTTAGTCGTACGAAACTGTACCATTTTAAAAAGGAGGCATAGCACCCAACCGTTATTGGGTGATGAGCAAATCATACATTTTCATACGACTGAACTTTTACGAATTTGCCACTAATATGACGAATTGAAAATTGAATACAAAACAAACAAATAAAAAACAGCTATAAAAAACAAAACAAAACTATAATAATGCTGACTCCAAACTCTTGAACAGACATACCTCTATATGCCATATTCCAGTATGAAAATGCAAAAAAAAGTACATGTTTTAGATCAACCCGACCTTCAAAATAAATAATCCTATCTACCGTATAACTACATGCCACACGCCACTTGGAAACCTTCTATTGAAATCTGAAAAATGGTGAATGGGAAATGAAAATCCCCTGATGTAACTAAAGTGATTCTCACTTTAATTCATTGCCGCTTGCCCACAACATTTGAAGGGATGAGGAGTGACAGCTGTGATCATTGCGTTTAAAAAGCTGAAGCCCCTAGCAATTGTTGACATCCTATTAACACACTAAATGTTATGGGTAGTGAAAGGAGACAGGAACACAGGGAACTCTGTAGGGAACAACACAGCATCACAGAAGGGCTTAATCATATTCATTCTCTTTTGATTTTTCAGGAGATTTTGAAACTTGATTGTGTGGTGTGTGTGCATGCTTGATTGCTATTTTAATGGACACTTGCATGATACTAGAAGATGGAAGCCAATGACAGACATCACATGACAACCCAGTTGTTATCATTTTTTGCTAACACTTTACTTGAAGGGTGCATTCATATTCATGACACCTTTATAATCATGTCATGACACACTTTACGAATATGAAGTAAATTATATGTTATTAAGTCTCAAATTAAATTCATAAGTCACATTGTTTGAGATGTTTTTTTGTTAAAACAACTGGACTTACACAGATAGGTCACAGTTGGGTTTGTTATGACAACTTGACTTTGCATAGACAACATAACTTGTCATAAATCTGCATAAACATGATTGTCATGAAGCCATAAATGTGTCATGGATATTTGTCTGATCACTTTTTTTATGTATTAATTTTCATTCAGCTTAGTCCCTTATTTATCAAGGGTCACCACAGCAGAATGAACCGGCAACTATTCCGGCATATGTTTTATGCAGTGGATGCTCTTCCAGCCGCAACCCAGTACTGGAAAACTTTTTTTTTCATTGGAACAAAATTTATGTGGCATTAAAAATATGTTCACAATTATATAACAGCAATATTAATAATTAATAACATTTTAACAACAAATTGTATCTATTCCACACTAGTTGAAAAATATATATTAATGTTGCTGTTATGAAATAGATGACACAAATGAAATGGCTTCATAAAAATCATGTTTATGACAGGTTTATGACATGTCTTGGCAATTTTAAGTTGTCGCGAGGAACAACATTAATGTGGCATTAAAAATCCTCCGTAAAAGTGTCAATACTCTCAGAATTAAATAACAGCCTAATATATATTTAACAACATTTTAACAACAACTTCCAGTAATGCCACTGTAATTGAGGTAAAAAAAAAAAATGGTGCTGTAATGAAATTCACGACACAAATACAACAGCCTCATAATAGTCATGTTTAGGACAGATTTATGACATGTCTTGGTAATGTCAAGTTGTCTTGTGGAATAAAATTGTGGCATTACAAATCCTCAGTAAAAGTATCAATAATCCCATAATTATATAACAGCAATATTAATATTTAACAACATTTTCACAACAAATTTAATTCATACCACTGTAGTTGAGGTAAAAAATAATATATATATATATATATATATATATATATATATATATATATATATGAAAGTTGCTGTTCCGCAAAATTTACAACGTGCATCATGAAATTTATGTTTATGACAGATTTATGACATGTCTTGGTAATGTCAAGTTGTCATGTGGAACAGCAT